AAAAAAAAAAAAAAAAAAAACCAAAAAAAAAAAAAAAAAAAAAGCCAAAAAAAAAAAAAAAAAAAAAACCTGTTTTCCAGCACATCAATCAACCGTCCAGGAGTAGCAATAACAATTTCACACCCCATTCTCAGCCTGAACCCTTGTTCCTCTCTAGAAAGACCTCCAACAACAACAACAGTCCTGATCCCCAATGGCTGACCAAATTTGTTGGTCTCTTCCTCTATCTGCTGAGCCAACTCCCTAGTCGGCGCTAAAATTATACTGTACGGGCCCTGGTCAGCTTCCTCAAGCCTCTCGATCTTGGGGAGACTCGTGATCCAGAGTAGCAGCGGAATCAAGAAAGCCAGAGTCTTACCTGACCCAGTCTCAGCTACACCAATAATATCCCTGTTCTGGAGCCCAATAGGAATAGCTTGCCGTTGGATCGGGGTCAGATCCTTGTAACCCACCTTGTCAATGATGTCCAGGATTTCTTTGGGGAACCCAGACTCCTTCCAGGACCTGATCGGGTCCGGAATTCTTCCTCCCTTGATTGTGATATTGTAGTCCTCGCGGAATATCCGCCAGTCGCGCTCCGTCATCTCGTTCAGGGCTTTCTCGGACCAATGGCGGTCGTCCCACTTCTGTTTTTCTTCCTTGCGCTTTACTTTCTTAAGACGCATCTTCTCCTGCTCTTTTTCAGCCTCAGTACGCCTTTTTTCCAGGAGCTCTCCGTAGAATTTACTTTGGTCTCGCTTCTGGGCTTTTATGTCGATTCCTGCGATGTTTCCGCGCCCGAAAAATTGGACCTGATACAAAATAAATTATTAATATTTTTTTTTATTGTTAATTATGTTTGTTACTTATTTTTCAGCAATATTGGTAATATTTTTATTTAATTCCTAAAATTAATACTTTTTTTTTTAATTATTAAGAAAGTTAGAATTTTTTTTTAATTATTTTTAACCAAATACAATAATTATAATTCTACAGAAAATTAATTCAACTAAACAATAATAACTAAAAGTAAAAAAGAATATTAGAAGATTTATTAATTGATATTAAAAAAGAAAAAAAAAATAATAAACTTGTTCAATTTCTAAGTTAAAATTAATATTTTTTTTTTAAATAGAATTTTAATAATATTTTGCAGCTTATGTTAAAATTATAGTCTGTGAAATTCCATCTAATTAATAGTAATATTAAAATTTTCTAGAAAAAATAGCATTTTTTTTCTTTTCAATTCCAATCAATTTTGCATAAGAAATTTTTGTTGAACAAATTTTTTTCCTATTATATTTAAAGAGATTAGGAACGTCCAATAACTAACTTAAAAAAAAAAAACCAGTAATAAATTTATCTACTCACTAACTTTATAAAAAAAAAATTTTTTTTTTAACAGCAAATTTTTTAGAAAAACAAATGAAACTTTTTCTTTTAAAAGTCAACTAATACACAGAAAAAAAATTTCCTTAAATCAAGTAAATAATTTTGAAGAACATTTTCTTGATTTGAGTAAAAAAATTCTTAAACTAATAAATTTTTCTTTATTTAATCAAAGTAAATTTAACTTGATTCAAAACAATGAAACTTTTAAAAATTATTTTCTTGGTTAAAGAATTTTTCTCTTGATTCGTTAATTTTTTTGTCAATGTAAAACTATATATTATATATATTTATTTAATTGCTTTCTATGTAGATTGGTTAAAATAGGGTCCACAGATTGGACCATTAATCAATTTATATAAAGTTTCAAAAATAAAAATAAAAGAATATTACAATATTATTATTCTTTTAAACTTTTAACTCTTGAATTAAAGCAAATTAGTACGTGACGATATAGGCAATTGAGTTGTTTGGGTAGGTACATGATTAAAATTTTAACGAGAGATCCGTGTTCTGAAGATAACTCCAAATTTTCAATTAAGAAATTCATTGTGTTGTTCATATCCATGTTTAATTAATAAAATAATAGGTTCACAGTTTATTGGAAATATTTATTCGATGTTTATGTTAAATTTTCACAACGTTTCATCGGAATATGATGTGAATAAGTTCAAGTTGTTAGCCTGCCTCGATTCATTTGACATGTTTTTAACAATTGATGTTTGATAATTGAGGTATGTTATGTTTTTGTTGTATTCTTAGACTTAGTCATAAATTGAATTTGCGAGTTGAGTTTATACTGTCCAAGTAGTATAATATTATGATAATGTTTTGTAATATAATTATATGAATATTATTGTAAAATATTTTGTATTTAATTGTTCTAGCACCTGAAGAAGTCGGGAAACCGATGAAACGTTGTGAAAATTTAACATAAACATCGAATAAATATTTCCAATAAACTGTGAACCTATTATTTTATTTTCAATTAATTTGGTTCTAAGGTTCGTAAAGAGCGTACAGTTTAAGTTAACAGGAAGTGAGATAAAGTATCATACTCTCCAAGGTTACATAAAGGTCAATGTAAAACTATAAAAAAATTTTTTTTACTAACCTGGTGTCGCTCCTTATAAATATTATTATAATCCACAGAAGTGTCTTCAGAGGTATCCCAATCAAAGACAAACTTCCTATCATTAAGCCTGCGAACCCGTCGTTTCTTCTTAATAAGTCCAAGATATCGTTCCTTGATAGCCTCGACTTCCTTCTCTTTATCCTTATCTTTATTCTCTTCCTCCCTGCGCTGAGAGTCTCTTCTTCTCGAGTTATCTCGATCATCCCAGTCCCTGGAATCTTTGGAGCTTCCAACATCAGCGGAGTTTTTCCTGTCCTCCAGCTGCTGCTTCCTCAAATTCTCGACTTCCTCCTGGCGCTTCTTCAGCGCTAGCGCAGTCCTCTCTTCCTTAGTAAGAAACTTCGGCTTGGCCCGAGCTTCTTCTTCGGCTTTTTTCTTAGCGAGCAATTCTTCGAGACTCAGCGGCTCGCGCTTAGACTTTTTATCCTCCTCATCGTCCTCCTTGTCCTGACCCTCCGCGGAATCTTTCTTCGGCTCATCATCGATCACGAATATCGGACTTGGCTTTCGCGGTTTATCGTGACTCTTATTGTCTTTATCTTTGTCCTTGTCCTTGTTGGTCACTTCTCGGCGCTCTCGAGAACGTCCGCGTTCGTGATTTCTCTCACGATCGCGGTCGCGTTCTCTAGAACGGTCGCGGTCTCTAGAACGATCTCGTTCTCTAGAGCGCGATCTTTTGCGAGACGCGTCTTTTTTCCGGTCTTTGGAGCGACTTCTGGACCGGCGACGTTCCCGCCGGTCATGTGTTCGCTCTCGGGATCTACTTCGACGGAGTTTTTTACTTTCATGACCCACCATGCTATTTTTGTTTGTTTACCTGCGAATTATTTAACTAATTAGTATGAGGTAAATATCAAATTATTTACTTACAGATTTCATTTTTTGCTAAGAGTTACTTTTTTTTATCGTTATTATTGTTTATTGTTTTTTACACTTGATTTTACACTATCACTGAGAATTATTTGTCTATTGTTATGAGTTACAATTGTAAATACAGTCAAACGCGCAATAGACGTTGTAAATTCCTTAATTAAAAATTAGGTTATGATTTTCATTTTCGATTGTAGTTTAAAGTTTGAGTAGTTAAGCACAGATGGCGCTAAAGTCAGTTTTCAAAAATTTTTAGCGGCTATTTTTTAAATATTATTTTCTTTTAAAATTTTTTACTGCACAATTAAATAGATTTTCTCTTTTTTTTTTAATGATATGAAAATTTTTCTTGAAAAAGATATAGAGAATAGTTTTTAGAAAAATGTATTTATAATTTTTTAGTTTTCAAAAATTTAATTTATTAAATAAATATTTTTTTTTTCTCTATAATTTATTTGTTTAAAAATTTTTAGATTTTTAAAAGTCTAAATTTTATTTAAAAATTAAATCATTTTTAATTATAAGCTTATACCAATTCAATTTTTTATAATAAAATTTAGACTTTTAAAAATTTTTTATTAATGATTTGATCAAAAAAAGTTGTACAAAAATTTGTCAAATATTACCAAATTTGTTTATTTTTTATTATTAGACATAAAAAAAAGAAATATTTAATTTAATAATATTATAAGCTACTTTAATTATTTTATTTATCAGCTACTTGAAAAAAATTAGCAGATAAAATAAAAAGAATAAATTTTAAAATTGCGCGCTTTTTCCCGCCATTTGTAAATTCCGTCAGAGGCGCGCCTAGCGTCAGTCCAGACGACACAGTCGGTAGTGAGAATTCGCGGTGAAAACGTGGTGGTCTCATGTCCTTATAATTTTATACAAATGATCGGCGTTAATTACTCTTATTATTAATAAATAATAATGTATATTTGATAAAAATTTATTTAGCTTATTAAATAAAGTGATTAAATCATCTGTCCGTGTAATAAATACATAAATATTTAAAAAAATGGCAATGCTCGCAGAGCCCAGACGAAAACAAAGATGGACGCTGAACCCACGAGGCAAGCAGTGGAGTGACGGTTAGTTTGCATTATTACGATTACAATAATAATAAACACCTGCTGTAACGTACTTTTTGATAGTTTTTATTGTTATGTTTTTTGATTATGTCCGCGGTTATTTTTGCAATATAGAATGAGTACAAGAAATTGTGATAATTAATCACTGATGGTTAAATTTTATTATTAAGAGACGTTTGATCATTGTTAGGATTTTTTAAACAAATAAATTATTATAAAAAAAATTTTATATAGAAATTATAAAAAATTTTGGCTACTTTTTTTTTTAATAATTATCTAAAACTAATTTATTTGTTGAATAAAATTATAAATGGTCAAGTGTCTGCTGATTTGAGTGTGATAATAATTAATGATAAAAAATATTAAAACTCCAAAAATTTATTTAATTTTATTAAGCTACTTAATGATACTGGGATTAAAAAATATATCTGATAATTTTTTTAGAATTTTTCTAATGAATAAATTATAGAAAAAAAAAAAAATTATTTTGAAAATTCTATACTCGGAAGATCTACAAAGATATTAATTCAATTTTTGTGAATAATTTTCTAATTTTTAATTTTTTTTTTCAAGAAAAATTAAAGAAATTGTTTGCTATTCTCATTGTCATGTTAATTATTTAATATTTACAATATTTTAATACAGAAATTCATAAACATTTTCATGAAATGTTGTTTTATACAAATTTTTTTTTTTTTCTTAAACTCCATTAAAAATAAAATAATTTGAAGAAAAAATTTTTTAATCATCTAAAATTCTTCTACAAAAAATTGTCATTTTATCAGCTTCTATAATTTAATTTTTATTCAATTACATTTTTAAATAAATTTTACTTTCTTATTTTTCAATTATCTAAAATTTATATTTCTATCATTTTTTTCAATATAAATAAAAAAAAATTATATCCTTAAATAAAATCAAAATTATATAGAAAATTTTTTACAATAATTTGATTAATAAAAAATTTTTTTTCAAGCTTAAACAAAAATCTCCAACATCAATCTAATAAATTTTTTCAATTTTCAGACTCCACAAAATTCGGGCAAAGAATGTTAGAAAAAATGGGTTGGACGAGCGGAAAAGGTCTTGGTGCCTACGAGCAAGGAGTCACTGAACACATCCGCGTCAAACACAAAGATGATCAAGCCGGTAACTATCTTTTACACAAAAAGTTCCCGTCAATAAAAAACATCATTAAAAATAATTAAAAACTTTTTCCAGGTCTTGGTTTCTCAAAAGACAAACAAGAAAAATTGTGGACAGAAACACAGCAGAATTTCAGTCAACTTCTTCAGCAGCTTCGAGCCGGAGACTCTCCGAGTGCAACTGAAAAATACGAAGATTTGAGTCTCAGTGGTAAATCATTGGAGCTGAAGTCCCAGCAGAGTCGCGCTCGTGTCCAGTTAGTAACTTTTTCATTTCACTTAAGGTAGTTGTTCGCTGAGAATTTAGTGTCAGAAAATTCTGAAAATAGAATTTAGCTACTATCTGAAATTTTTTTTCGCTCAGTATAATTTGGAATGATATCCAGTGTCGTCTCGTTCTTTCCGGTGTGCAATTAAAAAAAAATTTTTTTTTACTTGTAGTTTAATTGTTAAAGGAAATCAAAACTTGTTAACCGTCGGCTAATTTTAGTATCATACATACACAAAAAAAAATTTTTTTGCACCAAGAAAATTTTAAGGAAGACAAAAATTATTTTGGAGCAAGAAGAAATTTTCTTGGCTCAAGAAACTTTGACTTAATTCAAGAAGTTATCAATCTTCTTTAATATTTTCTTGAGCCAAGAAAATTTACCCTCCAGTCAAGAATTTTTTTTTTTTAGTGTAGCATGTAGGTAACCTTTCCTTATGTACAGTATCAGTCAAAAATAATCTCTGATTTTTACAACAACTTAACCTACTTTTACCGCGCTTATGATCCATAACTTTTTGCCAATATTGTAGCAGAACAACTACCTTAAAGCGATACTAATTTTCCTAAAAATGTTTATTAAAAATATCAATATACTTCCAGCTACAAAAAGTTCACCCGAGGAAAAGACGTGAACCGCTATAGCGCCAAAGACCTCGCGAACATATTCGGTAAAAAAGATTTAACTGAGTTACCGACCGTGAGCTCTGCAGCAGAGCCGGTAGGTGCGGAAGATACTACAGCAGGAGTCCTGACAATAAAGGGCGGTTCGATGGAGGATTACTTCAAGAGCAAGCTTCCTCACCATTTGTCAAAGAAGTTTTCTTCAGAAAAAGAAGACTCTGAGAGCGAGGGCGAAAGGTACGTAGGTTTTGGTTTTTCTGGAAATTCAAACTCGGATACTCCCCGGAAGCGTAAGAGCCAATTTTACGTTGACAACACTTCCGAGGCGACTATTATCGACGAAGTCCAGGAGCAAACGCCTAAAAAACGGAAGCTCCAGAGCTTCGCTTTTGAAAATCCGGGGTTAGATCTTGTCGCTAAAGACTCTTCTGTTCCTTCGAACAAAATGGAGGTCCCAAGGCCGTTTGTGGCTCTGGAATGCATTCCTCACGATGAGGATGAGATTCCTGTAGAAGTCGATCAGAGTATGGAGAAAACTCCAAAGAAAAAGAAGAAAAAGAAAGATAGCGAGGTTGGGTTCGTAAATGACGCCCTTAATTTGGAAACCAAAGATGTCGATAGTTACTCGGAAGCTTTTGAGGTTCCGAGAGAAGTTTTGGGCCTCGCTAACGACGCGCTTGACCTTACCGACGAGGCTAGCGGAAAGAAACGCGTTACTTTTAATGACACTGTTGAGTACAACACTGATAAGGTTAAAAAGAAGAAAAGTTGCGTTAAATTGGACAAATTTGAGGTCGTGGATGATAAATGTAAGAAAAAGAAAAAATCTAAGAGCATTTTGGTCAATGGCGAAAGCAGTTTTGTTAACGAGGCGCTAGATGTCGAGATTGTTAATGAAGAAGTCTGCGATAACGAAGCCAACGAGCGTAAAAGCCGCGGTAAGCGGAAGCGCCAAAAAAGGACTAATTTGGAGACTATTGAGGAAGTTGAGGAGAAAGTTGATGCTAATAGTGAGGATTTGGTTCAGAATACTAGCGATAATTTGGGAGATATGACTTTAGAAACTCCCAAGAAGAAGAAAAAAAAAAGGAAGGATAAGGATAAGGAGAAAGTTGAGGTTGAAGAGGTTAGGATGGATGTTGACGAAAGTGGTAACAAAGAAAATTTTAGCGATAGCAAGTCGGAAGGTGTTGTTAAGAAAAAGAAAAAAAAGAGCAAGGAAAGTGAACAGGTTGTTCCAGAGGAAAATAAGACAGTTGATGTCGAGGATTTGGACGCTTTCTTGAGGACTAAGAAGGGAAGGAAGTCTCAGTTGTTTAAGTCGTTGTTCAAAAAGACCCCGGTTGTTAATTTTGTTGGGTCTAATATTAGTAAGATTGAAGGTTATAATGTTAGTGCGCTTGGGAAAGATTTTTTCGAAGGTTAGGATTGAGATGATGATGATTTAATGAAGAATTTATTAATATATTGGAATGGAAGTTTATAGATAGAAAAAAAAATTAATTAGAATTTTGTAAATTATTTTATTTTAATAAAATTTGATTTTCTTAATTCTTAAGTACTAAAGTTAGCTAACAACTATAAATTTTTTATAGCAAATTAATTACATTAGAAAAAATTCTTTAAAAAATCTCCACTAATAATTTTTTTCAATTTTTTCATGTGGAATTTTTTTTATATTGAGTTAATTGCAAGAAAAATTATTTTCTTAGTTCAATAATTTGTCTCTTAAATCAAGTCAATTTTTTTTTCAGTTAAGGTTAGGTTTATAAGCAGGGTGAGGGTACAAAGTTTTAAAAAGGTTGAGAAAAATTTTTAGTAAAAGTCGAGTGTAAAAAACGATTCGATTTTTTTCTCTATTCGCATTCATAGAGAAACCTTCGTTGCACTTGTGCGATAAATGAAAATTTGAAAATCAAATTTCTTATTATTGAATGGAAATTTTATAAACGTAATCTGCTAAAATTTTATCAATAATTTATTTAATGTCAAAGCATTTTTTTCTTTAGAAATTTATAGTTGTTTAGAATTGATAAAACTGCAATGCCAAGAAACGGTTCTTAACGATTGAGTGTAAGGTTAAGTTGAAATTTGTAAAATTAATTAATTGCAGTTTATTATAATTAAATAATTGTCGATAACAATTGAAATATTGAAACACAATATGTTATGATTTAATAGATAGTTTTGATGTATATACGTGGTGAAGCAGTTAGATAGCTGGATTGGTATTCAGTTTAAACATATGACATGTTTAATAAGATCATTGTAATTTAATAATCGAATCGATATGAGTTCATAGAAATAATAATAAATTTGATAATTAAAGTTTATTGTAGGAGCTATGAAAATATTGATTATTTTCATGATGAATTTTTTAAATAACAAAATTATAGGAATTTTATAGAAATTAAAATATTTAAAACTTTTCACCCTGCAAATACAATAAAAAAATGTAAATAAAAAGTGTGATTTTAAACAATAAATAAAACAATTATTTATAAATAAATCTTTAAAAACAATAAGATGAAATTATTAATTTTTATTTGAAATTACCAAATACTGTCTTCGTATTAGAAGAAATATTTGGGTTAATTTTATAAATCAATTTATTATTACATTATTGATCCTTACATTAATTACAATAAATAAATAAATAATTTAATTAATTTAACAGAATAAATTTTGAAAATCCAAATTGATAAGAGAAGTTCGTAGTTAATGACAATAATAATAATTATTATCATTATAATCGGAGAATTCTAAGCTGGAGGAGCTGGGGGAATTTCGTAATTTGGATCATCGACTTTGCACTCATCTTCGTAATTATCGATGATCATAGGCGCCATTAGTTCCTTGAACTTCTCCAGAGGACATTGATGTTCGCAGCCAGGAACAGTGAGCGGCCGCGTCTCATAATCAGGCGCGTTGCGGTAGAACAACTGGACGTACCACTGACCCTTGATCTCGTGAAGTTCCACGAGTACCATTGCGTTGAACCCGGGTTCTTTTTCATCCCAGACGCCCATTGTAGAGAGCATATTAACTACCGTGTTGTCATGGGCTACGTAAGCGTACATTTTCCGGGACTTGGGCGTCAGTTTTCCGGTAGATCGATCCTCCATCTTGTTCACCATTTTCGTGACAAATGGCCCGCCGGATAGACGACGAAGCTTGTCATTCCACACGTTCTGCTTAAGACTGAAGACCATCAGTGGCGACATTTTTCTCGGGTAGTACTTATGAACCCATTCAGGAAATTTCATTCCCATTCTTTCCTGGAATTTTTTTTCAATTAATATTTTTATCAATTATCAATTTGTGTCTTGTGGAAAAAAGGTGAAAAAATTTATGTACTTACTTCAGAAACTAAAGTACCATAAACGTTAGCAATGTCTCCAGGATTTTTCATCGGCAAACCAGAATATTCAGCGACATAAGCATACATATCCTGGTTTTTCATGTTAATTTCTCGTACGGCTGGATCGTGATCGACCTTGACTCGTTCAACGGTTAATTTTGGACAAGCGTTCCAAATAATCAGCAGCTAATTTTTTAATAAATCAAGGAGTAAGTAAAAATAATCAACTAGTTTAATCAATAAATGAATAAATTAATCAATTGATGGAACGAAATAATTAAATATACCTTATCTTCAGGCCTGGTCCAGTAATGAAGCACAACAGGTTGCCAGTCAACCCCGGATTTGAACTTCTGCTTCTCGTTGGGCTTCCACAGCGCCGCTGACAGTATCATCGCGGTCATCTTTGCTCGGTCCGCGGAAGTACTTTGCAGCCAGAACTTGTCGGGCGAATAATCGTCACCCAAAAATTCTCCGTATCGGTCCCGAAGGAACAGACCTTCGTTGTAGGCTACCAGGCGTCCTTTCTGTAAAGAATAATCTCATCAGTTACTTCACTGTCCACGCGCCAGGTAGACCATAAATCTTAAATATTAAATATTCTTTCTTCTATTTTCTATCAGATTATGAAACTCACTATGACGTAAAATGTTGGGTTTTTTACAATCATCATTCTAGGTCAATGTTTTTGAAAAAATGTCCATCGTTTTTTTAATCAAGTTTTTTGTCGAATACTTTTATAAATCTTTTTACTATTTTTACACGAATTATTTTAATAAATACCAATTATCTGATAAAAAGTAACTTTTTCGTGAATTAAAAAAAAAAGTTTTTTTTTTATCGATACTTTTTAAAAAAATTTTAAAAGTTTTTATATTTATAGAAAAATTTATTAAAGTAGTTTAGTATAAAGTCAATTTCTGAAATTAATTGATTTTATTTTTCACTCAATTTATTTATATTTTTTAAAAATAAATAACATTTCTATCACATTTTTCTAATCAAGTTTTTAGTCGGATGTTTTTATGGATATTTTGACACGATTTATTTTAAAATTATCAATTCTTGGATAAAAAGTGAATTTTTTCTTTTTACTTTTAATGAAAATACTTTGCAAAAAATTCTAAAAGTTCTTATATTTATAGGAATTTATAAGTTTAATTTTTCACTCATATTTTTTCATAGTTTCAATAATGAAATCAACAATTGACTTTGCTAAAAATATAGTAATTGTCTTTTTATCTCAAAAATTTAAAAAAAAAAATTTTATCAAGTTTAAATTTAAAAATTACTTGAATATAAAATCATTATCAAAAATTTAACCTTTTTTTAAAATGATTATCAAATATTTCAAAGTAATTTACGAATTTTTTTACAAATATCAAAATTCACGGAAAATTAAAATTTTTTAATTTTTTGGACAAACCCAATTTAAAAAATTATCAATTTGAAATTTTTCTTATTAAATATTTTAATACAATTTTTCAAATTAGAAAAAAAAATTTCAAACTCAAAATTATTACATTAACAAAATAAAATAAAAACCAAACTTACATCAGTGAGTTGTCCCCATCCGTAAGGATCCATGGTAGAATTAATGTGCGGATCTGTCGGGTAGGTGTCAACCGGTGCGCGTTGTCCGTGCCGCATTAACTAATCAAAAAAAAAAAAGTAATTAAAATTAGTAATCATTCTACTGCCATACATGTATCCACCCGATAACAAAATACAGAATAGCGGTCGTCGAAATTATCAAAATAATGCTCAAGCAAATGTACCGAAAAATTACCAAGCACATGAGCATTAAAAAAAAAAAAAAAAAACAAAATAGATCATTAAACCATGAATATTGCCGCTAAATATTATATTATAAAATTACATATTAATTAAAATCAATCATTTGTTTACTTACCATAGTGACTTGTCTCAATGTGCTCTGGTCCTTTTCACCCTGCGACTGGTCGCCATCGCCTCTGCCAATTGACAAAGCTGAAACAATATTTACCGTTAATTAATAATTGATATTTTATAAAAAAAATGTATACATTTATTTTTATAATTAATTAATTGATACCTCCTGCGGCGCCCAACAACGCTATGCTCGCAAACACTAGTCTCACGTTAATCATTTTACAATAATATTTACAATTCATAAATAATAAATTATTAAGTAATAAATAAAGTAACGATAGAATTAATTGGTACGAGCACGTGTAATTTGAATTTTATTCGCGGGAGATCCTACAGACACTGATCACTCAGTTCGACTCGCGGCTTAGATAACGCAGTCCCCACTCCGCTGGATTTTTGTTAAACAGGAAAATATTTCGAGTTTACGGATAATAAACAATAAAAAATTAATAATAATAAATATTTAACATACATTGATGTAAATATTCAAGAATCTTGATTGTTATTATAATTAAAAGCGATGAAATATATTATTTATTTGATATTTTATAAATTACAAGTCGAAAATTTTACGGCGAGTTCATCGTATCATTTTTATTGAGCTAGATTAACTAATCACGTTTTATATTAATTGTAGTGTTTTAAATTAGCTACTTATTTTCAAAATTATCAGCAGTTGATTAAGCTACTTTGACCTTCACTACACTTATTTTTATCAAGGATTTAAATATCGCGCCATTAATTCGTATCTAGAATTTTTTATCGTATTTTACACTTTTATTTTAATCTAATCACCCGCATTAATCAAGCAGCAATTTAAAATATTTAGAATTCGGTACTTGTAATTAAAAATTTTATTATTTAAATTATAACATTGAACTTTTCACGAAATAAACGATACCAGTTGAAAATTTAACCTTACCACAAAATGGTTCCTTTATTCCTAATGGCGGGAATACAGGAAATGACGTACATAGATGGCGCAGATAAGCGCGCGAAATTTGAAATTTAACAAATAATTTTAATCCAATACAGTAAATTTTAATAAATATATAATTAATTACTTCAAATAGTTTTAATTAAAATAATATTTTCATATCTTTTACTGAGATTTAATACTTGCTGGAAATAAAATTATCAATTATTATTATATGATAATGATGCAATTAGAATGTAATGAATAGACTATAAGCTCAAACTTGATTTAAAAGCGGAATTTATTTATCATTATTATTACTAATGATAATTATGCAGTACGTTCATGTTAGATACGCAATTTCAATGACTTTGTTGCAACATTGAACTGAAGGTTAAGTTATTCAAAGGACTTGGGAATAAATTTTATTATTTTTATTTATTGCGTATTCAGTAATTGTATTTTACTCTTTATGGAAGTATATATTTTTTTTACAGATAAATTTTTGAGAAATCGGTGCTTGATTTTGCAAATTTTGAAAATTTATCGGTAAATTTGTACAAAATAGCCTCAAGAAATGTACTTGAAATAAAAAATATTGAGAGCGAGTTAAAATGATTTTATTCATGTGAAATAACAGCCGGAGGGTCGGAAGTAGATTGATTAATCATGTAAAAAATTTTAGCTTGAATGAATCGATTTATAATGTAAGCAACGTGTAATGGGGCGAAGATTGATAAAAGAGTTTGTTAAATTTTAATTTAATAATTACTAACGTTGCTGCTGACGGGTGATTTTCTCTCTGATCAAAAGAATAAATTATATATTATTAATAATTAAACAACATTTTGGTCTTAGAATTTTCTGATGAAGATTAATTTTTAGTTATTTCAAATTCATCGGGTTTTTTTACACAGGCGCCACTACTCAGTCGACGACAACACTTTGAAAAAAAACAATGGCGGCGATACTTTGCACGCCAGTTTTCACACTAAAATAGTTACTGTAAATAAACTGCGAGGATTTTATCAGTGGTTTTTTCTAGGGTCGTTCTAGAGAGCAGTACCAAGTTGGACTGAAAATAATCGGGTCAATTGGTCCAGTTCTAAGAGAGATATCGTGATTACAGATGTTCGCTGAACATAACCAACGAGCTTTACATTTGTTCTATTAGCTTTTTCTTTCATTTTATATTAATACACACAGTCTTTTTATATTAATGAATAATAAAAATAATAATAAGATTATAAATTAGGCGTTAAAAATAAAACTAGGTCTAATAAAATTAAACTAACTTACAAAAGCTCAATTTATTTAATGATAGCCATGTATTCCACAGACAGTCGTATACTTATAATCTTATCAGAAAAAAACTTAATGTTACTTATCCTATTTAAATACGCTAATTGTATTTATAATTACTAGACAATGATAACAAATGAAAATAAACACACAACAAAGTCTTAAGTAGTCCATATGATTATTTATTTTAACCCTATCAAATTTTATTTTATTTAGAAATACATCGTTATAAATTCCTGGTGATAAAACTGTTATTATGCAATGGTTGAATAATGAATTGCATAAAAATGAAATTGTTTATGTAATTATCTTTCAATTATATAAATGAAACTGATCGTTAAGAAATTATTAATTATCAGGAAGAAAGAGACAGTAGTTAAATTTTTTTTTTCAATTTTATTTAAATGTTTCGAGTAATTAATTAAATTCATTAATAAATAAGTTATTGATAATCTATAATTGATTATATTAATTTTTTTTTATTTAATTGTAATTATTCTTTCAATTAGAGTTAAAAGTATACACTTGAAAAATTCAAAATTTTATAAAAAAAAAATAAAAGTTTCAAAGTAAAATTATAAAAAATTATATACCTAATAAAAAAAACAACCAAAATTTTCTCAGAGTAAAATTTATAAAAAAATTATTCAACAAAATTTTAAATTAAAAAAAAAAAAACAATAAGTAAAACTAACAACCTTGCAGTCACTATGTGACTGCCCTGACTTGTGAACTAAAAAAAAATTAAAATTTTGTTTTATTAAATAATGACTTCTGTTAAATTGCACTGTACTTTCTGAAATATTGACGTTTTTAAAGATATAAGCACATCCCGATGTTACACTCATCAAGAGCTTTCATTTGAGTACCCACATGCATTTTTTATATATTTTTCATATATTCATATATATAAATATATAAAATATATGAAAAATTGATGTGGGTACTCAAATGAAAGGTCTCGATAAGTGTAACATCGGAATGAGCTTATTTCTTTAAAAATGTCAATAGTTCACAAGATATTTGTTAATATAAATTGCACTGTATTTTCTTAAATATTGACGTTTCTAAAGATATAAGCTCA